AATCAACAAAAGACAATACAGCAATTCCTCACTTAATGACATTTTGTCATAATGTTGATGAGAAAAAATACAAGCACAGTTGTAATTCATTACAATTATTGTCATTGAATTTTCTTTATAAACAATAAATTAGATTCTATGAGATGAAAATTAATACTGGAGGTTGCAAAGACAATGCAATAAGATTATTATTAACTGAATTCTTTTTTCTTGAAATTTGATTAATATAATTTGTCTTCATTATATTTTCACCCTGTTTTTCAAACAACACAAATCTATATTTACATTAACAATATATTATGTAAAAATATCGCTTAATATCAATGTAAATTCTGGCATAATGTTTCCATTTACCAGTTTAAATTTCTATAACATCCTCTGTATTTTACTGGAATCAGTAATTGTTCGTTTTTGAATTATATGACCGTCTACCATCATATAATTCAAAAATCAATTCTTACAATCTGCTTTGCAAACATTTATTCTATATTAATCATCTTTATCCATTGCCAACAATGATAATCAAGTCTCCCATATCATCTACCCATTACAAATGCCATCATTCTCTGAATCACCAAAAATTGGGTAAATAATTATCTTACTTCTTTTTAATTTTTCTTAAATGTATGTATTTCAATGTTTAAACTGTTCCCTGATATTCCCAATGTATCTCGGATCAAAACACAATGACCTTGACTGGTGGACCTGAGATATCTTGTTTCTGCTTAGGAACATTTTTTAACATTAAATGTCACTACTTTATTTAATTTTGAATTTAGTGACTCATATCACATGAATGGGTATGTTATCTAGTTTTTGCATAACAGGATATCACAATAATAGGATTAGATGTTCAGAAGAAATAGCAAAGGAAAGTAGAGCTGTTAATTTGACTTTATTTCAAAATGGCAGCGGCAGAGAGAAGTTGTGCTGTGAAAAATCAGAAATGATCGAGTATTTGTTTAATTTAAATTCTGATGAGTCTGAATTATCAGACAATAGTGATGAATTTCTACAAAGTGAGAATGTGAGTGATAGTAGTGATACTGATCATGAAAAACCAACTAACATTATGTTGAGATGACATGTAACTGTGGTCAGTTACATGTCATCTCAACATATATCTCAATCTAACATATACATGTAAGTTATATACAAGTGGAAACAGAGGCCAACCACGCAGTCATGCTCATTAAAGTAGTAGTGCAAAGCATCAGCATTTTAGTAATAATGATGATGGTTGGTGCCATACAAACTTCACAAGCCCTTAAGTGAACAGTTTTACTGGACAAGCAGAAATTCAATGTAATTTACAAAGTGATGCTACACCATTTGACTGCTTCAGTGTATTTTTTGATGATGAACTTGTGGACAAGATTGTGGAAGAAATGAACAGGTATGCTGATACTTTGATGAAATCTGACCAATTACGTGTATACAGTCGCATAAAACGGTGGAAACGCGACAGAGAAAATATTCAACATGCGATAGGTTAATATCAGAAATGTTTTTTCCAAAGAGGAATTGTACAATTTATATAATTTTGGACTTGCTGTATATTATTGAACTCATGTTACAAGATTTTCATGATATGATCAGTTTCTGAAAAAGATTAATATAGAGACAGTACACTGCAGTTATTTGCATTTACATTAAACAAAGCATTATTTGCTATTTATGTTTGTTACTTAGTATCTTTTGCTATAATTCTTGAAAATATACTTCTCATATTCAGAATGAATGCAGAAACTATTCAAAACACACATAATTACTGATTTAAAGATTTTTATAAAAATGATTACCTGATCCTTCTATCTTTGGAACTAATGGATATACAATGTGAGAAGCTTCATCTAATGTTTCAGAAATTGTGCCTTGATGACGTTTTATTATATCTTTTAATCTCGGAACAAGTTGTTTATCTATTTCTGGCATTATATAAATGCATGGTAGAGACAAACATTTATTCTGAACTAAAGTCTTTTCTATAGTCATAAACATTTCAACATTACGATCCATTCTTGATGGGGACTGAAAGTCGAAGCGCCTCCTGAAAACAAGTTAGTTAACACTAAAATTAAAAGTATACTACCTCATCTTAACATATATATTTTTAGAACTTAACAGTATAATTAATATCCTTAAATTCATTAAAAGTATCATAACTGTTTTATTGTCCAAGTAATACAGTCAAACCTTGGATTTTGAACACCTTCAGGGAACAAATTAAGTGAAAACTGAGATTTGATTGTACATTTAATTCTTATTTGATATATAAAGTAGAGTTGGTCACCAACGATCAACTTCCTATTACAGTACACTGCAGTTATTTGCATTTACATTAAACAAAGCATTATTTGCTATTTATGAAGGTATTTTTTGATTTTCTTCGATATGTCCTTTATTTTCCCCCAAAAAATATGGTCACTGTATATATACTACATATCAATATATAACTTACATGTATATGTTACATTGAGATATATGTTGAGATGACATGTAACTGTGGTCAGTTACATGTCATCTCAAGTCACAGATATGCCAAAGTGCATTATGTATTAGGTTGCAGATATTTTTCCTGAAAACTTAAAAATGACGGTTCAATCCCTCCTCACAGCATTGTTTTCTAAATTTGACATGAATAATAGAAGGGATGAGCAAAGGAGAGTCAAAATCTCAATTTACAGAATTCTCTACTTGTATCATAAATTCACATTACAGTATTTTAAAACAGATATCTATAGAATATAAAAAAACATTAAAAAATACCATAAAATTTTAATCATAAAATGCCTTACCTATCTGGATAAAACCACCAATGTAACATTACATTTTTATCTCTTTTCATTACTACTCTAACCCATTCATCTAGAAATAAAACAAAAGTAATCTATAAGTAAATAAATTATATTTACTATAATAATGATACTAATTATAAATAAATTAAATTGCTTTTTATTACATTGATAACAATTAGATAAAGAATAAAAAAGTTATTTTTGAATGCAAATATTCTTGACAAAATCGTACTGAATATAAGAAACAGTAAATGCATGTGCACACAAAGTTTTTGATAAAATAACTACAGCAACTATACTCTACTTTATATTTTACTATACTTCCTTTTTTATTCTTATTTTAGCATACAACTAAACCACTTTATAATGGGCTCTCTATTGTACCTAATAAAATAAGGCTCACTGTGATAAATATTAATTTTATAAAATTATATTTGACTAGATCATGTTTATGAATAGTTGGTAGATAAGCAAATCAGCAATACAAATGAAATTGTTTTCAGTAACCTTCACTGATCATTTTAAACATTTTTGTAATAAAAATTTAACTATAGAAAAACTTCACCAGCAATTTTTAATTTTTTTCCTACTTTTTAAAGTTTTTATCATGTTTTAATATTTATTTATTTAGAACTCTATGTGGAATTAATAGTTCCATTTGTAAAAATAATTTTTAGAGGGAAATAGCTTACAATTGAACATTGTAAACATTGTAAACATTTCAATTTTTAATGTCTTGGAATAAATCAACAAAAGACAATACAGCAATTCCTCACTTAATGACATTTTGTCATAATGTTGATGAGAAAAAATACAAGCACAGTTGTAATTTAGTCATTACAATTATTGTCATTGAATTTTCTTTATAAACAATAAATTAGATTCTATGAGATGAAAATTAATACTGGAGGTTGCAAAGACAATGCAATAAGATTATTATTAACTGAATTCTTTTTTCTTGAAATTTGATTAATATAATTTGTCTTCATTATATTTTCACCCTGTTTTTCAAACAACACAAATCTATATTTACATTAACAATATATTATGTAAAAATATCGCTTAATATCAATGTAAATTCTGGCATAATGTTTCCATTTACCAGTTTAAATTTCTATAACATCCTCTGTATTTTACTGGAATCAGTAATTGTTCGTTTTTGAATTATATGACCGTCTACCATCATATAATTCAAAAATCAATTCTTACAATCTGCTTTGCAAACATTTATTCTATATTAATCATCTTTATCCATTGCCAACAATGATAATCAAGTCTCCCATATCATCTACCCATTACAAATGCCATCATTCTCTGAATCACCAAAAATTGGGTAAATAATTATCTTACTTCTTTTTAATTTTTCTTAAATGTATGTATTTCAATGTTTAAACTGTTCCCTGATATTCCCAACGTATCTCAGATCAAAACACAATGACCTTGACTGGTGGACCTGAGATATCTTGTTTCTGCTTAGGAACATTTTTTAACATTAAATGTCACTACTTTATTTAATTTTGAATTTAGTGACTCATATCACATGAATGGGTATGTTATCTAGTTTTTGCATAACAGGATATCACAATAATAGGATTAGATGTTCAGAAGAAATAGCAAAGGAAAGTAGAGCTGTTAATTTGACTTTATTTCAAAATGGCAGCGGCAGAGAGAAGTTGTGCTGTGAAAAATCAGAAATGATCGAGTATTTGTTTAATTTAAATTCTGATGAGTCTGAATTATCAGACAATAGTGATGAATTTCTACAAAGTGAGAATGTGAGTGATAGTAGTGATACTGATCATGAAAAACCAACTAACATTATGTTGAGATGACATGTAACTGTGGTCAGTTACATGTCATCTCAACATATATCTCAATCTAACATATACATGTAAGTTATATACAAGTGGAAACAGAGGCCAACCACGCAGTCATGCTCATTAAAGTAGTAGTGCAAAGCATCAGCGTTTTAGTAATAATGATGATGGTTGGTGCCATACAAACTTCACAAGCCCTTAAGTGAACAGTTTTACTGGACAAGCAGAAATTCAATGTAATTTACAAAGTGATGCTACACCATTTGACTGCTTCAGTGTATTTTTTGATGATGAACTTGTGGACAAGATTGTGGAAGAAATGAACAGGTATGCTGATACTTTGATGAAATCTGACCAATTACGTGTATACAGTCGCATAAAACGGTGGAAACGCGACAGAGAAAATATTCAACATGCGATAGGTTAATATCAGAAATGTTTTTTCCAAAGAGGAATTGTACAATTTATATAATTTTGGACTTGCTGTATATTATTGAACTCATGTTACAAGATTTTCATGATATGATCAGTTTCTGAAAAAGATTAATATAGAGACAGTACACTGCAGTTATTTGCATTTACATTAAACAAAGCATTATTTGCTATTTATGTTTGTTACTTAGTATCTTTTGCTATAATTCTTGAAAATATACTTCTCATATTCAGAATGAATGCAGAAACTATTCAAAACACACATAATTACTGATTTAAAGATTTTTATAAAAATGATTACCTGATCCTTCTATCTTTGGAACTAATGGATATACAATGTGAGAAGCTTCATCTAATGTTTCAGAAATTGTGCCTTGATGACGTTTTATTATATCTTTTAATCTCGGAACAAGTTGTTTATCTATTTCTGGCATTATATAAATGCATGGTAGAGACAAACATTTATTCTGAACTAAAGTCTTTTCTATAGTCATAAACATTTCAACATTACGATCCATTCTTGATGGGGACTGAAAGTCGAAGCGCCTCCTGAAAACAAGTTAGTTAACACTAAAATTAAAAGTATACTACCTCATCTTAACATATATATTTTTAGAACTTAACAGTATAATTAATATCCTTAAATTCATTAAAAGTATCATAACTGTTTTATTGTCCAAGTAATACAGTCAAACCTTGGATTTTGAACACCTTCACTTCTCAAACAATTCAGAAACAAAATTTTGAACATTATATTTGTCCCAGTTGCCAAACAAGCTACTCAGTAGAGTTGGTCACCAACGATCAACTTCCTATTACAGTACACTGCAGTTATTTGCATTTACATTAAACAAAGCATTATTTGCTATTTAGTTATTTATTATTTATTTATTAATATAGTATTTATTTAATATAGTAGAAGTTATTTATTAATATAATAATATTTAATTTAATATTTATTAATACAGTTGTCCTTCTATAGTCCGACGTTTTTTAATCCGACATGCTCAGTAGTCCGATGCACCTCCCGTCAAGGTACCTGTCCCCGTTATGTGTCTGCTTGCACAGAAGCATGTCGCAATGTGAATCTCCCCATCCAATTTTTACACGATGACACACATTTTGTGTGTTTTATGTGAGCAGTTCTGTTCGAACAGTTGGAGTAGAGAATATTGTAAGTTACTGCTAGCAAAACAATGCGAAATATGTAATTATTTTCAGTAATCCAGACACTTTTGGTAATCTGACACACCTTTGGTCCCATACCTGTCGGATTATCAAGGGACAACTGTACTAGGTATCTAAAACAAACCAATTCACACCTAAATGCTAATTTCAGCAAATGAACAACAACAAAAATTTTAATGTTCAAACGTTTTCGGCCATCTTTCAGAGGCCCTCATCAAGAAAAATTGCAGAGAACAGAATACAATTCACACCTAAATGCTAATTCCAGCATTTAAGTGTGAATTAGTTTGTTTTAGTATATATTTCCAGTTTGTGTGCCAGTTTTTTATGTCTGACTAGATATCTAGTTAATTAAAACAAAAAAAATAAAATAATAATTAAAACTCTGGTTTTTACACCAAAACAGAAACTAAAATTAAAAATAAAATCAAAATTAATTAATTAATTAAAATCAAAGCAATTGAAACATAATATTTCAGAAAGTGTGAATAAAGTACTTGTCTATCTTGATTAATTTGGTTTTATGCATGAAATGCAGCAAAAAAAGGGCTTTGTTTTGGGGTCTAGAATGAATTAACCCATTCTATATTGTTTCTTATGGAAAAATTTGTTTCAGTTTGATAACAAATTGGTTTTTGAACAACTTTTGGGAACAAATTAAGTGAAAACTGAGATTTGATTGTACATTTAATTCTTATTTGATATATAAAGTACATTAGAAAAACTTTCTAAAGTCTTCTTTACTTATAATATTTACTTTCATTTGTTCATTTTTATTACATTAAACATTTATCTTCAATATATGACACAACTTTGCTTGTATTATAATTATAAGCAATTCCACTTCTATTATAATTTTTAAATACAGTCAATTCCATTTAATTGGGCCATTGGTTAATCTGAGCAGCTGCTTTATTGGGCCAAATCTCAAAAAACAAAAACCAAATTAATAAATTAATACATAATTTAATCACTTAATTGGGACAGTAACAGAAAGGAAATTTAACAATTTTTGATATATTTTAGAGATCTGAAAATATGTAGACACTATGTACACTAATGTCATGTAGACCTAACGTTTGGCAGAGACAAAGCAATTTTGTCTTTTGCTCAGGCAGTTTGGTTTTTTTGGAGGGGTCAGCATAGCGGGATGTATCACACGGAAATCCTGTCTGAGGCAGACCTGAATGCAAGCTAATGACCCTGCTCTGGATTGGACCAGACAATCCCCTTAAAAGCAAAGGGGCAAAGATCCCAGGACAATTTTTCAAAGTCTTGAATGAGTTAGAATACAGCTAGAGTTTCCTTGAAAGGCATTGTATGCATACTTATGTCTAGATTAGGACAGCAGCCACCCAATCATTGAGACCTACATTCAGAGCTGGCAGATTCTACGAACACTCCCGCTGAAGTGGCCTATCTCCAGTAAAGGAAACTGTGCACAAAGGAAGACCATAAGGTGACTTTGGACAAACCCTTTCCTTTTTAGTTAGAACATGTTCTAACTAAAAAGGGAGAAAGGAAAAATTGTTTGATCAGAAACAAATCAAATGGTTAACACTTATGTATGTCACAATACTGTATTTGGCAACACTAGCATGATGCGAATCAGTTGTCGTGAGTCTGGAAAATTTATATTACAAACATTTTCTGCATTTTGGTTTAATAAAGCATTAAAATAGGTACCTAATTATTAATTTTTACCTATGTATTACATATTTTACTTTAAAATTTATTATTAATTTGTTTTGCTGCTCCAAATTAATTAATTAGTGGCTGCTCCAAATTAATTAATTAATTTGGAGCAGCCGCTTAATTGGGCCAAAATGGATTAGTCCCGATGTGTCCCAATTAAGCGGAATTGACTGTATTTTCCTTGTCAAAATAAAATTTTGCCTAAAAAATTAATATTATAAAACAGATAAAAAATACAAACAAAAACTTATAAATTCAACAGAAACTAATTTTATTTCAAAAGATAAGCATTTAGTCAAAAGTTGATTTCTGCAATAAGAATCAAATATTTTACATAGAGAACATGAATAAATATACAGTAGAACCTCTATATTCGTCATTAATCTGTTCCTAAGGATCTAATGAATATGGAAAATGACAAATATAGAAACAATTTTTCTCATAATAAATAACTGATATTCAATTAGTCTGTTCCCATCCTAAAAAGAGATACAAGAATAAAAATTTTGTTGTTTGTAAAACTTTATCTTTATTGTACTAAATAAATACAGTATAGTGGTAAAAATGGAAGAAGAGTGTAAGGTTGTTATTGTTTAGAAGAAGACATACCATCAATTAAAACATTAGGTAATTCCAATTATGATCTCGGCATATTAAATTCTTTGGCTAAGTTGGAAACACTAGAGGTTGCAGCTGAAGTTTTAATCTCTAAAATGTGAACGCCAAATGTTGAGCGCTGCCATCTTGTAAGCCCAGAAGTTTGATAATGGCATTTGGAATGTCGGGCATTATTCCAATGATGTTCTGAATGCCATTGTCAAACTTCTAGGCTTACAAGATGGCAGAGCTCAACATTTGACGTTCATGTTTTAGAGATGAAAACTTTGGCTGCAACCTCTCTACTTTGTCCATTTTCAGACTTATAAATAATTTTTTCTATCTCTCTATTGTTGTTCTAACAGCTTTCCTTTTTTTGCTGTTTTTCTTCAGTGCGCTTTGTTGGAGCCATTGGAACTTCAGTTTTTAACGCAAGAAACCAAGAAACACACCATGACTGCACAAAGCAGACTGATAAACTACAGCTAGCTGACAGTGTTGACAACTCAAAATTCAAATTTATAGCTAGACATTTTAATAAAAATATTCAAATCATATTGTTTCCATTAAAATTTTTTGAGTTTTTGTAGCTAGATTATACCTAAATTATAATGGCCTAGCTATTTTTATAATAGCTAGGCCATTATAATTTAGGTAATTTGCATAGCTAGATTGTTCATAAATCCACTAAATCTAGCAGAAAATTAGCTAAATTGGCAACACTAAGCTAACACAGTTAGCTGATCAGTGCGAGCGTGTGATTGTAGCGCCATTGCTGGTATTGGGAATGATGATGAATACAGAAAATACTGACGAATATGGGGGGTCATCAAACTGTGACAAATATAGAACATTATGAATATAGAGGTTCCACTGTATTACTATAACACAAGAATGGCCAACAAGTCAATTGTAATCTCAATTGACCAAAATTATAATTTTTGGTTGATCTTGAATAATGAGATTGAAAATTTCAGCCCAGCATTGTGACAAGGTCACAATAATTTTTGCCCATTTATGTGATAAAATATGAAAAATATTTTTAATTTTCCATAGAATACATGACTTAACCTTTAATTCCAGTAACCTAGCATTTAATACAACACTGAATGAACATTTTTGATTAATGGTAGAATGAACCAGATGACATGGTAGTCATCTGATTCATTTGTACCAGTAAATGAACTAGAAGATATTGTTAATTTTCCATAGAAATATTAATTCCATATTTTTCATAAACTTTTTAAACTACTGTTATGAATTTGTAGTTCCATATACATTTTTTATATTCATAAATTTTAATCTCAAATGGCTTTGGCCATATGTTTTGTCTGAGTTTTTGGTTATCTGAAGTAGTAACAATCCACATTACCTTGGATACTTAGAGTTCTATTGTAGTTTTAAATCTGCTCATAACAATTTCAGTTATTCACAAAATGCATAAAAAAGAAATCAAGAACATTATAAAGCCATAAATAATTATAACTGAAATTGTTACGAGCAGATCAAAACTACAATAAAACTTAAGTATCCAAGGTAATGTGGATTGGGACACCCTGTATATCATCATCAGGAATAACCAATCTGCAATTTACTGTAATTTGTAACACAATGGCATAAACTAATAAGTGGAAATCTACCCTTTGTAATGCTCCCAGACTTAAATTCAACAGCAGTATCTGTAAATAATAATAATTAGTAATTTGTTTGTCTGATTAATTGGTAAGAAGTCAATTCAGCCAATTAATGATTGTCTACTGATTAATCAGTAGATAACTACTATAAAAACCATTTATTGACAGTATGTCAATAAATATATAAGCTATAGAATTTGAAATAATTACTGTTTTAATAGTTAACCCAATTCAGCATCTTCTGATTTTATTGTTACATTGTCATTCATGTCTATTTCAATGCTGGAATCAAGATCTTGACTAACATCTCCTGGTTCAAACTTACCATCTGCAAATAGAGTTTTCCTAATTATCCTTGGTTGATAAATTCTTGACTTATGAACTTGACTGCAACTTTTCCATATCCAATATTCAACAATATTTATAATTTTATTTCCAAAAATGTTCCCATGAACATTAGAATAGAAAGTGCTATCTGATTCTTGACAATTTAAAAGAGGTAGAATTTTAAATTTTTCACCTGTCACTCTAGACTACAATATCTTATACAATGCAGTATTTCAATGTGTTTCCCATGCTTTTCAACCAGGAGTTTATTTGAGACTGGTATTTTTTTTAATAGCATCTTTATTCCCAGAATTTATTTGAAAATGGGGTTTAATTGAAGAAACACAATATATAAATATATAAACAGTATATACATAAATATAAATAGTAATTTATTTACCATCCTTGTTCTCCTTTAAATTTATAAACTGCAGCAAGAATATGACAGAGAGAACCTCCTGGTCTAAAATCCAAAAAACATTTCATCTGAAAATAAATAAGAGTCATTTACCATGTATACAAGTTGTTGGTTTAAGGTAAAACAAATTAAAAACAAAATTTGATATCTAATTTATTTAATAATTTTGCTATAATATACATCTACACAAAAGATAAGAAATGAGTATATAAAGCAATCTTCTTGTAGTCAAATAACATTTATATAGTTACAAAAAAATGCCATAATTTTAATCTGTTACCATGAAAAATAATCTAGTTTTTTGGGTTTTTAGAGAACTTATTTAGTTAAGTTTTAAAAAAATATTTTACCTCTATTTGTTAGTCACTCAATTAAATCTAATAAATACATGCAACATACTTGTAATATTAACCATCACGTAACTAACATCAAATATAATTTCTTGAGTAATTTCAGGCAATCAAGACCATCATCAGGAATTTCATTGTTGTTTTGCCTGATGATGGGTTTGGTTGCCCAAAAGTATCTGAGAAGGTAATGTGCAATGCTAGTAAAATCCAAAAAAGCATATTTTAAGGTTTATTTTATTCATTATTTAGCTATCATATAAGATTATGTTCTTGACTTTATTATTTTTATATATACATGTGCATTATTATTACTGCAACATAATCTTATTGTTTAACATCCACCTGATGAAATATCTGGACATGTGAAAAGTGACATCTAAAATAATAAAGTTTGAAAAAAATAATGCAATATCTCATATATTACGGTGTATTTTATAATTTATTTTGCAATGGAGATGTTAAATAATTACTATAATGTTGCAAAAATATTTTCATAAAAATGTATGATGAAATATCATTACAGTAAAACAATTTTATTTCCACAATTCAAGTTTCAGATTTCATCATGATCTTAAATACAAACAAACAATCTGCAAAAGCAAATATTCATTTAATACCTCTCTTATTAATTACTTTTTTAATATCAATAAACTTTCAAGCAGATGGTTTATATTCTAGAAAACTTTGTATAACCAAAGAAACACATGCACAATTCCAAATTAAGAAAAGCTAAAACTAATACAGTAAAACCTGTCTGAAACAGGAATCTGTTTAAACAGAAAAAATTCTTCAGAACAAAGAAATTTTCTTATGTTAAATCTTACTAAATGCCATAACCTGGATAAAGTGGGAAAATTAAATTCCATTTGTAGACAAATAAGTAAAATTCCCTCCAAGTATAACAACCATTGCACAACATAACAAATGAACTGTATTCTGAAAAGGATTTCGAACCGTCAGAAAAATTATCACCACTTGGTAAGGAGACATAAGGACATGAGGTTTTTGTTGGAATTAACAACAAACAAAATTGAATACTTTCAACAGTCAAATGAGTTTCTAAAAATCAAATTCTCAAAACAAGCAATGAATTAATTCATGAAAACAATATGTCAACACAGTGTTGAAAATTTGCATTGTATGGAATAATTTATAATTAATTAGTTCTGAATATTCAAAAACAAATTTATTATTAAAACAACAATAATTGTTTTCTGCTATTAGGAGTAGAGTTTCTCGTACTTCAAAAACACATGAACTCCAATTAAAACATATTAACTTTAATGTTAAAATTCATATCAATGTTCTAAAATTTGTTTTTGTTTCACCCGAAGAAGACATTCTATACGTCAAAAGTGCTTGTGAAATATTTTGTATTTATTTTGTGTTTTATTCATCAAAGCCTTATTAATGCTTATAGACAGTGTCCTTAAACTTTTATATGATAACAATTCCTTTCATACTCCAAGGAAACTACAAAGAGATATTTCTTTATGCTTCTAAATGCAAAAGAATGTTGGCAGAAAGAACATATACAACTGAATTGGTGTGCTGCCAGTATGGTTTACCCTATCCCATGTTGAAATTTTTCTCTGTTGCGTGTTGTGCATGTTGAATTTTTGTCAATGTTAAGCCTAACAAAAATTACATGATTTTGAAAAAAATAACCATATTGTCTGAAATTATTTTTCATTTTGCACAAACAAAATAAATACAGTAGAGCGTCGATTATCCGAAAGTCAATCATCCGAAAGAATTCCAGTCGGCAAATTTAAATTTTCGCCAGTGCTGTAAAGCTGCAATCTTTGGCTACTCAAATATTTTACGTTTTTGATACTAAATTAACTTCTAAAGTATAATTTTTTATTGTTTTTATATTTTTCAATATATTTATTTTGTTCGTACAAAATAAAAAAATAATTTTTAATGATACAATAGTC